CCAGAGGCAAAAAGCTCCACCTTAGCATGTCTGAAGTATTTTACAACCCCCATTTCATATCATGTCCAAAACTGATTACAATGTTTTCTAACTCCTAAACTAACTTGATTATAAATAAATATGTCAAACAGCACAAGGCCTAAAATTGAGCCCTGCAATTCCTCACTTCCTCTCAATCAGATCTGGAGCCTTTAATAAGTCCTTGTTGGGTTTGATCTCTCCATCAGCTCTGTCTGTCATGGTAGTGTAGTCCAGCCACAGGTTGCCTTCTTCTTCTTCAGCAGGATTTCACTGATATTTGTCAAATGTTTTGCTGAAGTCAAATTACATAATGTCCACTGCATTTCCATAATCAACTAAATCAGACAGAGTGTCAAAAAATATCAGGTTTATTTGGGGTCACCTCAAACCCTTGATGGTCCTGCTAAGCACTAAAATATGATGGTCTGAGATGGCCCCATGAGCTCCTTTGAGACTCCTGACATCCTGCCTTGGAGACTTCAACTCACCCATGCTCTCTCTGTCTCTGTCTCCATCTCTGTCTCCCTCTGTCTGTTTCTGTCTGTCTCCCTCTGTCTGTGTCTGTGTCTATGTCTGTGTCTTTGTCTTTGTCTCTCTCTCTCTGTCTCTCTGTCTCTCTGTGTCTGTCTGTCTGTCTAACTCAGCGGTTCTCAACCTATGGGTTGCGACCCCATTTGGGGTCGATCGACCATTTCATGGGGGTCGCCAAGCAAGGCTGTCCGCCATTTTTTTCCCCTTTTCCGGTGGGTGCCTTACCTCCCTTGAGCTGGGCCAGCTGGTGGTCGGCCTGCTCCGTCTCTGCCGCTTGCCAGCTGCGCCTCGGCCGGCGCAGGGGGCGGAACCACGCATGCGCGGCGCTCCCGGGCAGGGAAAGTCCTCGACTTACGACCGGTTGGGAAGTCCTTGACTTATGACCGATTTAGTCCTCGACTTATGACCGGTTTAGTCCTCGACTTACGACTGGTTTAGTCCTCGACTTATGACCGGTTGGGGGTCGCGGCATTAAAAAGGTTGAGAACCACTGCTCTAACTTCTCCATTTGCAAAATTTCTGATTGCAAATCCAGTTGTTATTAGTGAACCATTGGTGGCGAACCTCTTTGACCTCTTCAGGTAAGTGTCGAAATAGGTTCTAGCTAACTGCTGGTTCTAACAATGACACTATCCAGCAAAGCTTGGGCCAAGTGATTAGGATGGGCCAGCTCTGGGTGAAGCTAATTCATAGCTCATTTGAAAATGAGGACTTCCTAATAAAATAATTGGTCAGATCCTCAATGAATTAGCTGCAGGTTCCCAAAGTCTTCAAGGCCAAAGGCTGTGTAAAGTGCAGAGCAGTAGTAGAGACAAGTAGAGACTCTGTACCCCAGAGTTAGCTTTGAGCCCCCCTCCAGGTGGGGATCCTACCCAGCCTCTCTTGAAAGACCAGGGAAGCTGAGGCTGCTCAGGCAAACATTTTATTGCAGAAGAGCTTCTGATGGGGGAGGTAGGAAGGGTCACCCTCCATGCCCCCCCCAGGAAGAAACCATGGAAGCCTTGCATTAGAAGGTGTCCATGCGAACTCCACAATGAAGCCGGAGGGAGGGAAATGCCAAAATTCATGGTGGCGTGATTGGTGTGTTACCCCCCCAGGCAACAGCATCCCACCCTCCATCCCACTCCATGTGACAATGAAAGGGGGGGCAAAGGAAATGGATGCTGCTGGTTCTCAGGGGCGGTCAGGGCCAGGTAAGTACCCAGGCATGCATTGCAGGCCACCTCTGATGAGGGGAAGGACACTGACCCAGAGCAGGCTGGGCGAAGTCTCCTGGGTCTTTGGGTCTTTGGGGGCCTCCCTTGAAGCAGCTCCGTCCAGGTGTCCGAGAAGGTGGCCTCTTTGGAGGGGAGCAGCAGAGCTGCAGGCCTTGCGCTCAGGGAAGGCACCCGGGTGGCCTCTTTGCCCCATACAAATCTGAGGAACTGCAGCACCCCAATGGGACTAATTGCCCCCTCTCCTTCCAGGGGAAGCAGCCTAATTTGGATCCCACTGGCCAAAGAATTTCTGCTGCTGGGCTCCAGGAGAAGAGCCTTTTCTGCTGTGCCCCCCCAAGAATATTCTACCATCAGAGGTGAGATTCCACCACCCCCAAACACACACAAACACAATCCTGGCCTTCTGGAAGAGCCTGAAAATGTGGTTCAACCACTCAGCCTGAGGGGCTGACAGGGTAGGGTATCTTGAAGGTGTCTCATTGGGTAGAGAAAATCTTACCCCCAAGTTGTCCGTCATCTTGGTTCTTAACTTTTAATCTCTTTATTCTAGTTTCGATAATTTTTAGCATTTTGACTTTTATTTCATTGTACGTCATCCAGAGTTGCTGTATTAGTGAAATGGGTGACATAAAAAGTTATTAAAATTAAATGAGCTCTCAATTCTGGGGGTATTTTTTTGCATGTTAAGGTGGAGCTTTTTGTCTCTGGACCTTTAAGCAAAAATCCCACGTTACTTTTTCTTGTTCCTCTAATGGCCCCACTTGCAAAATTCTAGATTGCAAATCCAGTTGTTATAAGTGAATAGTTTGTGGTCAACCTCTTTGGCTTCTTCAGGTAAGTGTTGAAATAGGTTCTAGCTAACTGTTGGTTCTAAGGATGACTCTGTCAAGCAAAGCTTGGGCCAAATGATTAGGATGGACCATCTCTGGTGAAGCTAATTCATGGCTCCTTTGCAAAACCGTTTCATAATTTCCTAATAAATTAATAGGTGAGATCCTCAGTGGATTGGCTGCAGGTTCCCAAAGTCTTCAAGGGCAAAGGCTGAGTAAAGTGCAGAACAGTAGTAGAGCAGTAGTAGAGACAAAGCTAACTCTTTACCCCAGAGCCCTTACTCCAGATGGGGGTCCTACCCAGCCTCTCCTGGAAACCCGCAGACTGGCACCCAGGGAGCTTCTGAAAGACCAGGGAGGCCGAGGCTGCTCAGGGAAACATTTTATTGGAGAAGAGCGTCTGATGGGAGAGGTTGGAAGGGTCACCCCAGCCCATTTCTCCCCAACGCAGAAACCAGGGAAGTCTTTCTCTCTTCACCATCACTTTATGCGGTAGAAGGTGCTCCTTTCAACCCTAGAGTGAAACAGGAGGAAGGGAAATGTCAAAATTCATGGTGCCATGATTGATGTCTCCCCCCCCAGGCTGAGCATCCCATCCCCCACCCCATTCCCTCCTCCCATCCACGCAGGTGAGAATGAAAAGGGAGGGCAAAGGAAATGGAGGCTTCTGGTTCTCAGAGGCGGCCAGGGCCGGGAAATGACAAGACCCAAAGCAGGCTGGGCGAATTCTCCTGGGTCTTTGGGGGCTTCCCGTCAAGCAGCTCCGTCCAGGTGGCTGCAAAAATGGCCTCTTTGGAGGGGAGCAGCAGAGCTGCAGGCCTTGCGCTCGCTCAGGGAAGGCACCCAGGTGGCCTCTTTGCCCCCTACAAATATGGGGCTGTGCTGGGCTACTGCTCTCCGATTCGAGTAGAGCAATTAGTGCCAACTCTCCAAGTGTTGCCAGCTGTGGGCAACCCAGACTGTGGTGCCACCCAAACCACTCTTGTCAGTGAGAAGGACCTGGGGAAGCTGCTCAAAAGCTTTGCTGCCTTCCTTTGTGGGGGAAGTGGCAGAAACAGAGTCTCCCAGACTCAAAATGCCAGCCTCTCCTGCAGGAGCTGCCCAGAGAGAGGCAAACCATTGGGGCGCCCTTTCAAGAGCCACTTTGGGGGGGTGGAAGAGAGAGAAAAAGAAGAGGTACACAGGGCCCTTCCAGTTAGGGGGCACAGCAGTTCAGCCCCTGCGTTTCCTTACCGGGTCGCCCCCCAATCCTTTGCTGCGGATTCCACGTGCTTACGAAATACCCAGGTTGTCCTCAGCTGTTCCTTTCCGTTCTCGTCCACCAGACACTGGCCCACAAAGACGGCGGCGGTAGGTCCTGTCAGATCAAAGTTGTTGTACCAATGGGGGGGGGATATATTTCGTATAAAGACCCCCACTCACCGATGCTACCTTTAGATTGGGAATGTTTTATAGGCTCCAAAATATTTGGGAATCTCCATCTGATGGGGGGGGGGGAAGGAGAGTGGACATTCAGTGAAAGAATCTGCAAGAGGCAGATCTCAGGACGGGGAGATCCACTAGATTCCCTCTTCCCGTTCTATTTGCTTCCACAACAAAGACTGAGTGGCTCTACCCTCGAGCTCCCCGCTGACGGTGAAGCCAAAGGTGGGTTGGCGCCCCTGGTGCTGGATGCCCTGCAGCGGGAATGGAATGAAGATCCTGGTGTTAGGCCGTCGTATTATGTAGAAGAAGCCGCTGAACTCCCCAATGTCACTGACGTTGTAGATCTTCATTCTGATGCCTATGTCACTCTCCCAGATGCCGGTCAGGGAGCACTAAAAAAGAGCGGGAGGGGGGAGAAAAGCGTGTCAGGGTGATAGCCAAGCCCAGCTGTCCAACAGGTAGAGACTCCCCATTCTCTCCGGGGGATCTGAAAACACCCGCTGCTCACACGTGCCCGATCCCCGGGCTGCCCACGCCGCGTGGGGCTGGCAAAGGCGGCCCATCCCAAAGTCCGTCGGTCGAGGAGCCTGCCAGACCGCGTCCGGGACGACACCCCGCGGGTGGATCGCTCTGCCAGCAGCGCAGCGAGCGAGAGCACCAGCCCCGCCGGCAGGCTGCCGAAGCCTCGGCCGAGCGCGACGGCATCGGGTGCGATCAACCCCGAGGAAGCGGCACCCTCTGCGCAGCCCGCCGGCTCCCACCAGCTGCTCCTGCCGCCCACCCGAGCAGAGGCAGGTATGTGTGGGGGGGCTTTCCACACGGGAGGCTGGGACCCTCCGCCTCCCACCCCGCATCTGACCTTGACGCGTGACTCGGAGTTTTGGGGTTCGGCAAAGGTTCCCGAGCAGCCGAGCAGGAAAGCGAGGAGCCCCAGAGCTGCCAGGCCAATCGCCATGGTGGTCTCCAGGAATCTAGACGTGCCAGCCCCAGGCGGGACGCCCCTTATAAAGCCCCGCTCGCACCGGCTCTCCCCCCCCCCTTTCAGCTGCCGCCTCCCTCCACCACCCCCAGCGGCTGGGAGGGGCGGGATCCCCGTCCGAGGGGCGGAGGCTTCTGCGAAATCGCTGGTCCTGCTGCGAGCGCTGAGCAGCACTTGGGCAGCAAGAGGGGAGAGGGGCATTTCTTCTCGGGAACCCCACCGCCTCTGACCCAACACGGGCATTCTTACTCACCTCCTCCTCCTCCTGCTCCTCAAGTACCTTGCTCAATAGTAGTAACTGTGAGAGGACCTCGGAGTCCTAGTGGACAATCACCTAAATATGAGCCAGCCGTGTGCTGCAGCTGCCAAAAAGGCCAACACAGTGCTCGGCCGCTTTAACAGAGGGATAGAATCAAGATCACTGAAGTATTAAGACCACTTTACAATGCCTTAGTAAGGCCACACTTGGAATACTGCATCCAGTTTTGGTCACCATGATGTGAAAAAGATGTAGAGACTCTAGAAAGGGTACAGAGAAGAGCAACAAAGATGATTAGGGGACTGGAGGCTAAAACATATAAGGAACGGCTGCTGGAATTGGGTATGTCTAGTTTAATGAAGAGAAGGACGAGGGGGGACATGATAGCCGTGTTCCAATATCTCAGGGGCTGCCACAAAGAAGAGGGAGTCAAGCTATTCTCCAAAGCGCCTGAAGGCAGGACAAGAAGCAATGGATGGAAACTAATCAAGGAGAGAAGCAACCTAGAACTAAGGAGAAACTTCCTGACAAATTTTGCAATTCAAACAAAATCATAGTTTAGGCGTTGCCCCGTGGTTTGTTAGGGTGTTTCTCATAGAATTTATTAATGAGCCTGTCGGCTTTTCCATCACTAGATTTTACCCATGTGGCTTTAATCAAAGGGTAACCTTTCCACTGCACTAAGTATTGTAACTTTCCCTTAAAAAGTCTAGAATCAAGAATAGGCTTCCCTTCATAATGAGTCTGGCTACCAGGAGAGGCCCAGGTGCCTTCTTAGGGGGAGGTCCTAAGGTGGAGCCCCGAGACAGGCTCAGCAGTTAGCTAGAAACTATTTCCACACTTACCTGAAGAAGCCAAAGAGGTTGGCCACAAACGGTTCAGTTATAACAACTGGATTTGCAATCAAGAATTTTGCAAGTGGGGCAGTTAGAGGAACAAGAAAAAGTAACGTGGCATTTTGCTTAAAGGTCCAGAGGCTAAAAGCTCCACCTTAGCATGTCAAAAAACAGCCCCAGAATTCAGACCTTATTTTATTTTGATAAGTTTTTATGCCACCCATCTCACTAATACAGCAACTCTGTTTGGCTTACATTGTAATAAAAGTTTAAAAGTGCTAAAAAGAAATGAAACCCTGTCAGGACCCCAGGCTGAGCAACTGAACCAGGTTTTCAGGCTCTGCCAGAAGCCCAGGATTGTGTTCTTGTGTGTCTGGGGGGGGGGGGAATCTCACCTCCGATGGTAGAATATTCTTGGGGGGGGGCACAGCAGAAAAGGCTATTCTCCTGGAGCCCAGCAGCAGAAATTCTTTGGCTAATGGGATCCAAATTAGGCTGCTTCCACTGGAAGGAGAGGCAGTTCTGCACATACCCCAGCTGCACTAAGTGCACTCCCATGCTTATTATGGGATGTTACCCAGCTGCATTTGTCTTCAGCACATCAGGAACAATGATGAAATATAATGAAATTCTGATGTATTTAGGACTTACATTAGTTTTATTACAAAGTTACAGCAACAGAACCTTGCAAGGCTGAATCCACCTCCCTCTCTTCATCTTCCTGAAAGGGAAGAAAATCATTAGGTCTGAGACCCTTCCTCAAATTTCATTTCTTCCTTGGGCACAGTTTTTTTCATCTGATCCTCACTTCTCTTGAGGCTCTTCCTCCTGTTTCTTCTTTAGCCCATTCTGTCACCAGGGAGGTGCACCAGTAAATGGATAATCTGAGGCACAACTGGAAGAGATGCTCACAAGAGAAGATAAAAGCAAAGGAAAAGGGGAGGGAGGGTTGGCTGGGTCAGTGGTCCATGGAAGGGAAAGGAAAGACTGGATCTGCTGCCAGGAGGACCTGGTTGGAGAAGAACAAGAAAGAGGCAAAGAGCAGAGCTGCTGCTTCCCTGGGTCTTCTCCCCCAAGACTCCAGATGGAGCTGGGCAGAATCGCCTGCAGGGACCAGGAGACAAGAGAGAGAGGGAGGCAGAGAGCGAGAGAGACAAAGAGAGAATGGGTGAGTTGAACTGTCTAAGTCAGGTTGTCCAGGAGTCTCGAAGGAGCTCGCGGGGGCATCCAGGCCTCCAGGCCACTGCTGCTCTTCTGGGAATGGGAATCCCACGAAGGTAGAGGAGTTTCGGGGGGGCGGGGGGCGGGGGGCGGTGAGACTCCTGCTCAACCTCCATCCCCGGCTGCCCCTGTCCCCCCTGCGGCCCTCCCGGCCCACCCATTCGCCCTGCCCTCTTCACGGCATCGGCAGGAAAAAGCACCTCGGGGCATTGGTAAAGTGTTCAATTGCCCTGCCGGCAGGCAGATCGCGACGCCCCCGGGGCTCGGGGCTCAACGGGCCGTGGTCCTATCGGGGAAGGCGGCTCCGGCGTTTGCACCACAAGGCGTGCAACCCAGCGGAAGAAGGCCTGCCGGAAAGCTTTGCACCGTCTGCTGGACGTAGAGGTCCCAGAGGGAGGGGTTCCCTCGAACCTGGATTCCCCGGTGGGGGGGAGCACATCTTTCCAGGGCAACAGAAGCCTTGTTTTATTGGCATAGCAGCCGCCAGCTGGGTTCCGGCGTTACTGCTCCGTCCTCCCACCTCTCTTCGGGCCGCCAGATCCCGGGGTCCCCACCTGGCCCCTTCCGGACGAGCCCTGCCCCGCCCCACACAGCAGTTTTGTGAAGCTTTGGGGAAAGGAGGGCAGCCTGGGGAGGGCAGCAGAGACCGCCCTGAGAAGGTCCAGAGGGAGCTCCGAGGTGCTGAACTCGTCCTGGGACAGCACAGCATTTCCTCTTGCTCTTTCCTCCACCAAATGAAGTTGTCAGCAAGGGAGGACCAGGATGCCCGGATAATTCCTCCCCCCCCTTATCACACTTGCAGGCCTCTCTGCTCATCTGATGCAGAAAGACCTGGCTTGTATCTTCTGCCTGCCCAGAGGGTCCATAGTAACCTCCTTCTGCAGGATCCCTTATTGGGTTCTATACCAGGGTTTTTCAACCTTTTCACCTATTGTACCACTTTTAGAATATGGCAATATCCGAGTACCACCAGTCGCCTAGCAAGGTGTCAAAAACTTGATGACCCCCCCCCCAAAAGGGAAAAAAGTGATAAAGTACAGGTAGTCCTCGACTTACAACAGTTTCCTTAGTGACTGTTCAAAGTTACAATGGCACTGAAAAAAGTGCCCCCCAAGCCACAGCCGAGCAAGACACCTGCCTGCCCACCTGGTGGCGCTCTTCCTCCTGTCCGAGGTTTTCATTGTTGTGAGCATTTCTTTTGAGGATTGGCAGTGGGGGTGGGGTGGGGAGGGTGTTTGGTTTTTATTCCCTCCATCTGCTGGGTGGTTGCAGCAGGTTTTGGTCACTTCACATGACCCTGGGACACTGTGACCGTCATAAATATGAATCAGTTGCCAAGCATCTGAATGTAAATCACAAGACCCTGGAGATGCTGCAACATTCCAGCTGATCAGCGCTTCTTCTGGGCTCAGCAGAAGTGCCAGGATCAGTGCTGCTTTCCAGCTGATCGGTGCTTCTTCAGGGCTCAGCAGAAGCACCAGGATCAGCGTTGAGCTCCAGCTGGAGTCTGGCGCTGATCCTGGCGCTTCCACTGAGCCCTGAGAGCCCTGCAGCTCCAGCCATCTCTCGCTCAGGCTTGTGCAGTGCTGCCACCAGTTCAGCTCATTCCCCTTCCCCGCTAGCACTTTTTTAGGATGGTCACGTACCACCTGCCAGGTGCCAATGTACCACAGGTGGTACCCCTACCACTGGTTGAAAAGCCCTGGTATAGATGGCTCCTTGCTCAATAGTAGTAACTCTGAGAGGGAGTCCTAGTGGACAATCACTTCAATATGAGCCAGCCCTGGGCTGCAGCTGCCAAAAAAGCCAACCCAGTGCTAGGCTGCATTAACAGAGGGATAGAATCAAGATCACATGAAGTGTTAATACCACTTTGTAACACCTTGATAAGGCCACACATGGAATACTGCAATTTGGCAGCACCAGAAGGGCATCTGCTGGGCAGCAGGGCAAGCGGCTCCAAGCAGACCCTGCACTGGCCCTTGGCCCAACTTAAGCACCGGCCTCCCACGCAAGTGCTTCAGAGCAGGGTCCTGCAGGCCTCCAAACGGCTTTTCCCCTTCCCTGATGCTGAGGTGGGTGGAGGAATCAGAAGGAGAGGCGCTGCTCTTGTCCCAGCTGTTCTCCTCCCGCTCTAGAGGAGCCTCCCACCTGCCTCCCACCAGGCTGGCTGTGTCTTTGCATGTTACTTTTAGGATGGCTAAATGACATGCAGGCCACTTAGCGAAGCCAGTGAGGGGCCAAGGTTGGGCCAAAGAGAGTGCTGGCTGCAGTTAGCCCCGCACCAATGACAGGAGCCAGCATCGCTTCCTTCAGGAGGAGGAAAGGGCAGTAAGGACGCTCCTTGGGCCTCGGGGCTGCAGGCAACAGACGCCCCCCTCCCTTTCAGCCCTTCTTTCTCTTCCTTTTACTTTGGATAGAAGCGGCCTCTTCCCCCCCCCCTTGGTGCCTGAGTGCATGCACACACACACACACACAGAAAGACACGCGAGGTTAGGGGACAGTCCAACCTGTCTCCACGGACCTGGACAATGTGTGACATGTTAACAACTGGGCGGACTTTAAATCGCACTGTCGCAACTGCCCTCTTGCCTTTTCTGACCGTATTCTTACGGGCTTCCCTGTGCTATTTTACCGAAGACAAGGAAGCAACGACCCCC